CGAAACTAAAAGAGAAAAAAATTACAAGTAACAAAAAGAAACCAAAGAACATTTATCAAGCTAGTAAATGTCAAGGTGGTGGATTCAGTAAAATTGAAACATTAAAGGACAATAATATAATACAGTAACTCTATTGTAAATAGGTAACTTGATTTGTTACATGCTTTTTCATTCATTTTCATTATATCGACATCTTGTATGCATTTAATAAAATTGTTTTGCTTTCCAAGGAGAGAAGATGATCACCCTGGAGGTAGTGAGGTCTGTGAAAGTTCCTGGGTCTAGGAGGAGCTTTATTAAAAGGAAATGAGGAATCCGGCATTGCACTTGGTCGGGATAGCGACGTCCCCTGGCGGAGGCGAAGTGTTTGGTACTAGGGCCGAGGAGGAGTTGCGCCAGTGGCTCGAGGCACGCTTGGACGCACTGGGAATCGACCCCGTTGCGTACTCGCGATTTGTGCTTAGCCTGTTGCGCTGCCCCGACTCGGCCCTAAGCCCTCCAGAAGAAGCAGTTGGTACAAGCAGAAACGGAGGACGTCGCATTCGAGTCCGACCTAAAACAAAACTACCTACGCAAGGGAACAGAGAACAAAGACGTGCTGTCGTGCAATGTTTAACAAGTGCTGCCGATAATGTGAGTAGCTGTTAACAGTCATTTTAAACTTTAAATATACATTTTATATATATATATAATATATAATATATATTTATAATATATTTATTATTATATTATATAGAAATGTGGGGTAGAAACGCTGGTGGACGAATTATGTATGAAGCTTCGAGACCTAGAAGGAGGCGGTTCAGATGAAAAAGAAGAAGAGTTCAAGAAGTCTGATGGTGAAAATAAAACAAGCTTAGAGTCGCTTACACCTCGCGACAAAGCTCTTAGATATTACGCGGCATTTCCTGCATTACAACCTACTACTTTGAAGAAATTTTCTCAGAGGAAAGATAGGAATTTCGGAAATAACAACAATAATAACAAAATCAACGGAGTCAACTATAACAACAATAAGAACGCTAATAAATCTCGCAATAAGAAAACCAAAATGTCCATTGTAAGTATCCGAGATTGAGTGCTGTGTTATATTATCGAGAAAGCTTTTTAACAAGTCTTAATCTACTTGTTACAGAGTATTGACTCAAGAAGATCGGAAGAAAAACAAAGTTTTGGATTTGCTAAGTCAATGGAACGCGAGAGGGAGAAAGAACTGGAATTGGAATTGGATAAACTGCGATTGGCACAGTTACAAGCAAAATTTGACGAAAGTTTGGAAGCACTTTGGGATTCAGGACCAGGCAACGCACAGGATACAGCTTCGATCTGGGCAGCACCTACGCTTTCTATTCCTTCAGGACCCCTTTGGCCGGCAGACACTACCGAGACAATCTTTACTTTATCCACCTCAGACAATGGCTATGCTACTGACACGCCGTACCAGGAATCTATCGTTGACGACTCACCGCTAATTCCATGGGACATCGATTTAATCAGCATTGAAGATTATGCGGATGAATGTAGTAACAAGAATAAATCAGGTTAGTATCTCAGGTATATATAATTTATCAGTATCACGACACAGTAATACTGACTTAAATATATCTAACGAATAGGAGATCGTTCTGACATGTAAGTAAATAATAACAGAGTACGTCAAGTTAGATGTAGAATATCAGTGTCGTGTCGCAGTGTACATTTTATTCTCGCCTTTTTGTTTTATGTACGTGCATTTGTTAGTCGCTAAGGTTCTAAATTCATGGTCTAAATTAACGGTAAAAATGTTTGATATCTATTATTCCAGAGAACAATGTTAACTGGTCTGACTCAGCTATGGATGGATCATGGTGTTGGAAAGGGCTTGGTAGTAATTTAGCTACCTTGGGCCATAGTCCTCAGACAGGTAGCTGCTTCTTTCCAATCGCACCGCGTAAAACTCCCATTGGGACATGCAAAGAATCTCGTTCAAACCTGAAGGTAAACAGCCTTCCAGAACCGGACGAGGATTTGCTTACTTCCGCTCGCACACACTTTCGTCCAATAAAGGATGATGGTCAGTGGGCTGATGGGACGACATTTCCTGTAAATAATACTTTAGAGCGGGTCGCATATCGCAGATCTGAGTCAGGAAACTTGTTATATCTTCCTGGTGGAGAGAGTCCTTACATGGAGTATCGAGAGAATGACTCGCCGCTTCCTCCAGTCTCTACGAATTTAACGTTGAAATTCAGGGTGCGTCAATGTGACAAGTGCGTTCAAACCGAGCCTATTCGATCTCCGGTCAAACGCAGAATTCTCTCCGAACAGGATCACTTTCATTATACTCCGATCGGAGTGGAAGATACTGTTATTCGCGAAGAAGAGAAAATCAAGGAAGATTGCTATACGTTGGGTCAACTGGGCTGGGTACGATCTAATGTACCTCTGCACAATGATAGGAAAAGGTAATGACGCATTCATAAAAAAAAGG